TTTTATTTTTCTCTTGGCAGAACCAGGGATTGAACTCAGGCCCTTGAGCTTGCCTGGGAAGTACTTATTCCACTGAGCCATCTCCTGGGCCCTAATTTGCTTTTCTTGAATGACCAGTGTTGAATATTTTTTCATATATTTATTTGCCATTTGTATTTATTCATCTGAGAAGTGTGTATTTATCTCAGGTGCCTAGTTTTGAATTGGGTCTTTGAATTTTGAGGGCCTGGAGTTTTAGAACTCTTTATATGTTCTAGATAGAAGTCATAGAGTAAATAAGGTAGTATCTTTGTTCATGAACAAAAGCATTCATGAACAGTTTGGTTCATGACAGAAGTATTCCGCAAAGCTTTGCCTTCATCTGCAAACTGCATTGAATGATGAGCATAACCACGGCTCTCTTCCCTGCACAAACATGCACAGACACGAACATGGCCATCTTCCCTGCTCTGACCCACAGTGCTGGCTTCCGCTAGTTGAGATTACCATCTCAGATGGACCTGTGCACACTTGCCGTGAAGCTTTTTTGGGTGTTTTTTTAGCACATACAATACTGTACAGTATTATTCAGTCTAGCATGACTCCAAAGAAAGTACAGCGCAATCTTGATGGTAAAAGAAAAGTGCAGAGCAGTAATGAAGATAACAAGAATGTGCAGAACAAGAGTAAAGGTGACCAGAATATGCAGAGCAATAATGAAGGTAACTGCAGAGCAAAAATGATAAGGTTTTGAAGAAAATAACTGTTGAATTGAAGAAATAAATTGTAGAAAAGTTGAGCATGGTATTCGTGTGAGTGATCTGGCTTTGTAGTACAAGATGGCGAAGTCAACAGTCTCAACTATTTGAAGATTAAAAATGCCATTGAGGGAGCTGGTGTAGCAAAAGGAGCAATGATGTTGGCAAGCATAGGGCATATGTGCTGCAGGAGGTGGAAAACTTGCTAGTGTGCTTGGATGAAAGACACCTGGCAGGTGATAGTGTTAGTGAAGCTCTGATCAGTGGAAATTGCAGTGTTTTACTGCAAGAAACCCCTCTACAAGTGCAACAAGCAGTGAATTTAAAACCAGGGGTGGTTTCATAAATTCCTCAGGAGAAGTGACATCCACAGTGTGATAAGACATGGTAAGGTTTCTAGTTCTGACAAGGCTGCTGCAGAAACCTACATGAGAGAATTCATAGAATCCATGAAGGCAGAGGATGTGTTGCTCTGCAAGTGTTCAACTGTGATGAAACAGGGCTCTTCTGGGAAAAAAATGCTAAACAGAACCTGTATTGTGCAGGAGAAAAAGGCACATGTGGATTGACAACTGGTGGTCAACTTGTAACACCCAGCTCAACTGAATCAGCGTGGTGCTGGATGTGGGAGGCCCACCTGAGGATTGTTGACTGCAGCATGAGATAGAACTGGAGAGAAAGTAGTTTAGAAGCAGTTAGGGTGTTGCTAGTTCTCTTGGGCTATTCTGCTGGAGGATTTTGTCATGCTAGCTTTCCTGATGAACTTGGCCGTTCTCTTCAGAGGAGGAGCTTGGAACCTTGTTGCTGAGGATGGCTTTGATACTTTTTGAGGAAGCTCTGATTCTTTGAGTGTTGCTTCCTGAATCCAATGCAGATCCCTCAGCACGCTAACAGAGATCCTTCATCCTGCTGGCATAGACTTCCTAACTACCACCACTGATCTTTGGGCCTTCCCAGGGCAGATCCATGAGATGGGCCTGTGTGAGACGTTGTTGGGAGCTCTTAGCCTCCAGCTGGACTCATGCAGGACATTACTGTGGGATCCAAATAATTAACCAACAAGGTTCCAAGCTCCTCCTCTGAAGAGAACAGCCAAGTTCATCAGGAAAGTCAGCATGACAAAATCCTCCGGCAGAATAGCCCAAGAGAACCACCTTAACTAGATTATTTGGTCTTTAATGTGTGGACAGATTTCCTGCACTCTTCTTGTGTATGACTCTTTGGGAGACTATTATAAAACAATCTTATAATTAAGTGTCCTATATTGTATTGTTTCCCCTTGCAAAACCCCAACTACAGCAGCACTTCTGGGGCACATGCCCATGAAGGACAAATGGATCCTTTTGCTGTGTTGTCAGTACAAGTGCCTATCTGAATAAGCCACTACTAGTTTAGGACTCCCAGACCCCTCATGCATTCAAAGAACAGAATGTGAACAAGGCCAGACTGCCTGTCATGTGAAGGGCCAATGAAAAAGCTTAGTTGCAAAGCAGTTACTCATGGAATGGCTGCATGAAATGTTTGCACCCACCATTAAGAAATAGCTTTCTGGCAGCCAACTTCCTAAAAAGTGCTTTCTTCTGATGGCCAGTGCCCCAGCCTTGGTGGGTGATACGGATATTGAGTGTGACTTCACAAAAGTCATTTTCCTTCCTGTCCTGCAGCCCATGGGTCTGCAAGTGATGTGCAACTTTAAGAAGCTGTACAGAAAGCCATTCTTTACCAGGTATCTTGATGGCACTGCAGATATGTCCTCAACTCTGAAAGTGTTGTGGAAGAAACATTTCAGTGTCCTCCACTGCATCAGTCTCATTAATTAAGCCTGGGAAGATGTCACATACTAGACCTTAAATTGAGCCTGGAGGAAACTGTGGCTGGAATGTGACACTGAATGTGACTTTCAAAGGTCTGATGCACAGGTAATGGAAGAGATTGTGTCCATGGGCAGGAATATGGGTATGTACATCAGCGGCACAGACATAGCGGAGGTTCTTGACCATTAGGAGGAGCTGACAGTGAAAAACTTGCTGAACTCCAGAGTGAGCAGCAGAAGGGGCTTATTGAGAAGCATTCCATTGAGGAAGAGGAAGAGCTGGAAGAGGTTAGCAATGATGTGATAAAATCCATTATAGAAAAATGGAACAAGTGCCAGGATTTCTTTGAGCAGCACCACCCCAACAACTAATGAGTGGTGTTGAATCTGATGAATGTGATCTCTCATTTCCCTGCGTCTAAGAGACAAGAGAGCAAACCTCTGAAGGAGATCTCCCCAATATCCTTATAAGGAAATATTCTTATACTCCAAACAGTAATGTCCTCCTTATCCCACCTTCCTGTCTTCCTTGCCATAAGTTACCTCAAGAAGGGGTAATGTTCTCTCTATTGTGCTATACTTTGTGATTTAAAAAATGTACAGTTCAGAATGTATTAACCTTATTTACATTGAACCTTATGGGAAAATTTGATTTTATTTGCAATAAATTTGGTTTGTGATCAGAATCGTGGAGTGAATTGTGAACAAAGTCACCATCATAGCTTCTTGGTGACTATAAGTTGTTGCTCACCAGATCCTAACCCAAAAGAAATGCACATTTATATCTTCTTATGTGTTTTGGGGTTACCTGTCTTAAAGTATAAGTACTTTAAAGCCAGTTTTGGCAAAATGCAATTCTTTGGGGAAGAAGTAAAAATGAAGGTGAGAGATCTAGAAATCATGCCAGACGGAGAATAATTATGGATTTGTGGGTAGTTAATCTATGAAGTCAAGGCTAAGTCAGACACCATGACAGAAGAGCCATCTTTCAGATAAAGGACTTTTGAGTGAGGGGAGATCCGGGACTGGTGGTGGAAAGAAATTTCAGTTTTTGAAGTCATTAAATACTGATTTTTTTTTTTTTAATGAATTTAGGACTGGGTCTACAGAGTCTCACTATGTAGATCGTAGATCGGACTTGTAGTGATTCTCCTGTTTTCAGCCTCCCAAAGCTCTGGGATTACAGGTGTGCACAACCACGCCCAGTCTCAGTTGCTGTTTTAGCGTACCCTGGGGGCAGGGCCAGCATAGCACGCTGGGGATGGAACCATGACTGCTGCACTCTGCCTAAGTAGATGCTTTAGTCCACTGAGCTGTCTGGCTGGCCCCTGATATGTTAATTTTATGGAAATATACTCAAAAGAAATAAATGTTTATGTACCTACAAAATAGCTGAAATCCATCAAATTGTCAGGTATTCAGTAATGTGTAGGACATGATAGTTTTAATCATTTTCCAACTTAAAACTCCTTTTCCTTTTCAGAGATATTATGATCACACATTTTGAGCCTTCCATCTCCTTTGAAGGCCTTTGCAATGAAGTTCGAGACATGTGCTCTTTTGACAATGAACAGCTTTTTACCATGAAGTGGATAGATGAGGAAGGTAAGTAATAAAGAGGTGGTTGCCTGTGTAAGCATCTGATCTAAGGTAATATTCTGTTATTTACTTTAAAAATGTAGAAGGCTGGGCATGGTGCTGCATGCCTACAACTGCAGAACTTTGGGAGAGTGAGGCAAGAGGATTTTAAATTCAAGTTCTACTAGGGCAATTTAGCGAGAGCCTGTCTCAAAATATCGAATGCTCTAATTTTCTTATTTCTTTTAATAGTTAAAAAAGTAGATACATTGAAAACAAAACAAGTCTGCTAGTTCATATCCAGGTTTTGTTACCTCTTAAGTGAAGTTCTTATTCTTGGTATTTTTATTTACTTAACTATAGTACTAGAAATTGAACCAAGGACCTTTGTACTGAGCTACATCCCTCTTTTCTAAGTTTTTTATTTAAGACAGTATCTTGCTAAGTTGCCTGGGCTAGACTTGAACCAACAACTCTCCTTCTTCAACCTCCCAGAGTGCTGGGATTACAGTAGTGTGCCATCATGCCTAGCTGTATTTTGATTTTTTTTTTTTTAACTGAGCAGTGTATTGTGGAGGTATTTCATATGTAGAGCTTCTGCTTTTTTTTTTTTAATGTGTTTGGTAGAGTGTCTCACTATGTAGCTTGGACTTGTAGTGATTCTCCTGTTTTAGCCTCCCCAGCTCTGGAATTATAGGCATGCACCAATATGCCTAGTCTTAGTGGTTGGCTCAGTGCACTCAGGGGTGGGCCAGTGTGGCATGTGGTGCCAGGGATCAAACCCCAGTCCCTGCCTTGCCTAAGCAGGTACTTTGTCCACTGAGCTCTCTCATTGGCCCTGTATTCTCTTTAAAACCTACATAAACAACTAATAGTTTATTTCTAAATGTTCACAAGTATAAATAGTATTATGAATTGTTTATATAAGTATTATTTTTCATCTGTGCAAGTGAAGGTAAGTACTGGCAAGTAAAATTATTGACTTAAAAGAAAATGTACCGTGTTAACATTTTTGTAAGTGTATAGTTCTGTGGTATTAAATACATATATTTTGTTGTACAGTCATTACCCCTATCCACCTCTGGAATATTTTTATTTTTCCAAACTAAAACTTTATACCCATGAAACACTGTCTTTCCATTCTTCTCTTTCCCCCAGTCCCTTACAATCACCATTCTTGTTTTTGCTTCTGGAAATTGCTCTATTCTAGGTAACACATATAAATGGATTTATACAGTATTTGCCCTTTTGTGACTGGCTTGTTTCACATAGCATATGTTCTCAGGGATTGTCAGTGTTGTAGCATCTGTCAAAATTTCCTGCCTTTTAAAGGCTTTGTGTATGTATACACCACTTTTGTTTATTCCTTTATGTCAGTGGGCACTTGGGCTACTTCCACCTCTTGTCTCTTATGAATGATGCTGCTGTGAACATGAGCATATAGTAGTCCTCCCTATCTTCAATTTTGCTTTCCCTGGCTTCATCACAGTATGAAAATACTAACTGGAAAATATATAAACAATTCATAAATTTTTTTTTAAAGGTTTTAATTTTATTTATTTATTTATTTTTGTGTGTGTGTGGCCAGCTCAGCTTACCAGGGGGCAGGGCTGGCTGGCATGTGGTGCTGGGGGATTGAACCGCGGTCCCTGTGCTTTGTAAGCTTGTTCTAAGTAGGAGCTTTAGACCACTGAGCCATCTCACCAGCCCATACGTTTTATATTGTATGCTGTTATAAATATTATGATCCCTTTTGCTTAGCATATTCTCACAGTATACGCTACCCGAAAACAGTCACTTGGCACCTAAATCAGTTATTAAGTCAGTTATCATAGTATCTCAGTGCTTGTGTACTGATATATTTTACTTCTGTTACTTTACTTTCAGCCTCAGTTTCGCATTGTGGCCCACACCTGTAATATCAGCACCCTCAGAGCTAAGGCAAAAGAATTTCAAGTTTGAGCCTAGTCTGGGCAATTTAGTGATTTAGTGTGACCCTGTCTCAAAAAAACTTGTTAAAGGACTTGGGGGCTGTGAATGTAGCCCAGTGGAAATGCCCTGAGTTTTGTCCAGAATAGCACAAATAATTTTTTAAAGGGTCCAAAAAAACCCTATAAACTTCTTCTTGAATATAAAAAGACCAAAAAAAAAAAAAAAAATTCTGAAGCTGTTAAGGTTTATGGTAAGAATAAACTTATATCCATGAAATTGTGAAAAAGGAAAAAGAAACTCCTGTTCA